AATAATAATATAAAATATACATATTATTTATGGTATTTTTATTTATTGTATAATGTGTATTAGTGCATATTTACAGTCTAGACTATATATGATTTAGGGCATATATTCACTAAAAAAATCTAGACTGTAAATATATGCCCTAAACCATATATGGTCTAGACCATATATGCCCTAAATCATTTTCCAAAATGTAATTTTTAATATTATATTGTGTGTTGTAATTTTTAAATTTTATTTTTAATGACTATTTATTTCTCCAATTTTATTACATAAAGTCTAAATTGAATTGAAAATAAAAGTGTGGTTTAATTTGTAAAGTTGTAAAATATGTGGGTAGTATTGAAAAGTTGTAAAAGTTGATGTAAAAGAGAATATTCCGAGAATATTCTTTTGAGTTGGAAAATGAGTTTTTCGGTTGGAAATGAATTACTGCAAAATGGGATGTGTACTGCAAAATGGGTTTGAGTTTGGTGTATTCGGTTGGAGATGCTCTTAGAGTTGAAGTGCGCCGGAAACTGAGTGGACTTCATCGGAGATATCAGGAGAGCATTAACACAAGCTTCCAATTTTGGTGGCTCGATGTCTGCTCAGTTAATGAGAAGAAGGCCACGATTGACAGAATTAGCCTTTCAACTTATGTGCTTTGGAGGATTTGAAAATGTAGAAATTTAGGGTCGCTTGTTTATGGATTTTTTCAACCAAAATATTTCATTTTGTTAACTATAGTTAAGTTGAAAAAATAATGTGGTTAATTGTTAGTGGAATTTAAAAAATATATTAAAATAATATTTAAAATAAAAATGATTAAAGTTGATTTGATATAAAGTAGGAGATAAATGATTGGAAATTATTGATAGTTAAAATTATGTGAGTGGATAAATAGTGAATTAAAGTTGATGTAATGTGTAAGAATGATTGGTTTTTATTATTTAATTGTATGAATAATATTAAAGATAGTGGGGTTGAGTTAAAGTTGAGTTAAATATTTGAGTTGAAAAAATTGGATTGAAAAAATCCATAAACAAGCATGCCCTTATGGCTTTTAGAGAGAGAGAGAGAGAGTCACAACCTCTTCAACTTGTTTTTTATTTTTAATTTTTTTGTATATGTTGTTTGTTAAACTATGATATGTGAATAAAATATTATATATGCATATTTATTTAAATAATATAAAATTGTCTGATCGTTAGATTAGCTTGTGCCTCTACTTGATATCTAGCGGCAGTCACAGTTAAGAGAAATGCTAAGGTCCTGTTACGGAACCATCATGTCAGGGTTTGTAACCGTTAGATCATCATGTAATCGTCATAAATAGTTGATCTAACAGTTAAAATTAAAACACCGACAAAATGATTCCGTAACAGAACCATAGCATCTTCCCACAGTTAATGGGGCATTTAGGCTGTAACTAGGATCATTTTGGATACTTAAATGTAATATTAAAAAAAATGATTTTTATTTAAAATGAAAATAAATTGAAAAAAAAAAAGGAAAATCTGTAACTATGTGCTAATCAATAATTTTGCTTCCAACAGTCCAAATTAGTGTACCAATAACAATTATTTAATTTCCAAAAACAATACATACACTATGCAGGATTAGTGGTTCAATGCACTTAATTAATTAATCTACTCAGGAAAGCAACAAATTAAGATGAATGTTCGACATAATAAGAAAAGCAGAAGAAAATAATTGGTCAACATTTTCTATAAATAGCCACTCGATTTAATTTACGCGTATATGATTCATCCTCCAATTTCACTAATCCACGTCCAGAGAAAGTGATGAGAAATTTGGTATACTCTGTTGATTTCATGATTTTCTTGATTTTCTTATACGTGATGTGAAGTCCAACCATTTGTTTTATTTAGTATAAGTGCTATGTCACATTTATTGATAATTTTATATATTAATCAAGGTAATAAGTTTAATATAATGTAATAATATTATGATTTTATTTGTGCTTAATTATAATAATAACAAAAATAGATAGTTTGGGGTATTAAAAAAAGAAGAAGGAAAAAGTATTTGAGTAAGGGTAATAATGCCAAGTTTTAATTTCTAAATGGAAAAATAAATAGAATTGTTGATAGGATGTTATTATAGTTGAGCGAAGCAGTATCACGTTTGAACGAATTAAATGGTTCGAGTTTGGCTTGTTTGAGCACATAAAAAGTCCAATTTGCCTCTAAAGAATTTAAAACACTACTTGAACAACTTGCGAATACAAAATCTTCGTTCACTAACAAACTCACCCGAAATGTTTCATATAAAAACTCTATATGAAATATTCGTGAATTATATAAGTCTGTCTCAGCCTGTTGGTATGGCTCATATATTGACAAAGGAAGGGGGCAGACTGATGCCTGCGAGCGTAACGGAGCGAATGTAGCGAAGGAAGCGGAGCGACCGAGCGAAGTGAGCAGAGTTTTGACTTTATTTATTTATTTTTTATTTCTGTAATTTGGTACCACAAAATAGGAAAAATTTACACCGAGTTAAGGAACTTCATTTGATCCTTGGAAAGATGATTATTCTTTTTTCTCGTTTTGAATCGCTATTGCGTGCATATATATAATGCAAACGAATTTCCGTATAGACTACCAAGATTCCCCTGCCTCCATTTGACCTCATATCATTCTTTATTAACTAATGTAGAACAGATGAATGAATGGTTACTTGAGAGATTGATATATAAAAAAATTTTATAAATATGTCATTATTATTTATTATATGTGAGACATGAAATTAAGTGCGAACTAGTGACAAAATATACTTTATAATTGCTATTATATTAGCTGCAATACCATAGTTTTTAAACCCGGCCCGGAAATCGACCCGGGCAGTCTCCGGGTTATCGGGTCACCGGTTCAACCGCCGGGTCACCGGGTCAATTGCTGAACCGGATAATTAATTCAAAAATCTTTAAAATTATATATAGTATTTTTGACATATAAATATACATAAAAGTAACAAAAATAAATATTTTGCATACAAATTTTTACATTTAAATGATAATGATATTGAATCTCACAATAAATATTTACTATGTCATTATATAACCAAATAGCCCACCCATATCGGTTTCGGCTCCGAGTTGGTCGGGTCCTGGGTCGACCCGCCGGGCTGTTCCGGGTCACAAAACAATGTGCAATACAACTATTTTATAGCATATGATAATGGTAGTGATATGATATTATAATTAGGCATAGTGAATATTTGTTACTAAGAGAAGATAAATGATCGAATAAATAGTTTTTACTGATTTATCAGATTAATGCAGGGGTGTTTCAACTGCAAGTGCTCGTGACTGGAAATAATTTTTTAATTAGATTTGATTTATTATATAAACAAGTTAAGAGATTTGAAATTTTGATTTGTTATATAAATAAGTGCTCGTTACGGATTTATTTTATTTTATTTTTTTTTCTTCAAAAAGAAGTTTCATAAAGTATCTCCCATTTAATTATCATGCATAAGTATTTTGTATCATAGAAGTGTTTATTCACAAATTTTGATGGAAAAATTAACCTATATAACAAAATAGATTGAGATCTAAAATCAAAAGGATTTAACAAATCTTAATAATTTGGAATTTGTTTTTGTGGTACACATATATCATTACATATGATTATTGGACATGAGGCATTTATTTATTGGAAAATTAGGTTCTTAAACACATTTAAGCAAAGCAAGAGACTGATCACTCTCCATCACATTTTCCCCCTTCAATTTGTTGTCTGGAGAAAAAAAAAAAAAAAAAAAAAAATCTTCGAAGGTTTTTGCAAATAATTACAATGTAATGACGAGACATTTAATTTAACTTAGTCAAATCAATTTGAGTTTGATTTGACATTCATAGATTCATAGTTCAGTTGGGTCAATTTCTTTTGTCAGCATTTTGATACTTTTATCGTTCATTGGTTGGTTCTCTATTATTTTTTCTTTATTTTCTAAAAGTCATTTTTATTAAATCTAGCTATTGGGTAACATTATTTTTTTATCGTTAAATAAATTTGTATTGATTAAAGTTGAAAGTCATACAATTGAGTCAGCTTTAAAGAAAGTAGTGGGTAACTACAAGTCAGTTCATCACTCGTAAGAACAAAAATAACGAAGACAATGTTCTCCTCCAACCAAGATCTTCCAAGTGCTTAAGCACTTGGATAATATTGATTTAGTTGAAACTTAGTATATCATAGGTGAAAAATAGTACAACCTCAAGAACCAAAATTATTATTATAATTATTATTTTTTTCATCATTTTTTTTTTTTGGGTACGTTTTACGTACCTATTTCCCAAAGAGCACCATATGGGGCCACGGGCTTATGATATATGACTTCATGAGACCGTTCGTTTGCTAGTGTTGCACTTCTTAATTCAAGAAGGATAACAAAAATTTACTAATATTTATTTTAAAAAAAATACATTTCTTATAACCACTACTATAGTAAAATTAATGTAATCCGATATATACTTATGCCATTTCGTATAGGTAGTTATAAGAGTAGCCATAATATAATACGCGTAGCCTCATGTAAATGTTCACAACCTAGTAATAATTTTAATGTACCAATTGGATAATTTGAAGGCAACATGACAAGATCGATCGAGACTCTAATAACATATGTCGGGACTTGTAACCGTTAGATTATTATGTAATCGTCGAGGATAGTTGATCTAACGGTTACAACTCCGACATAATGGTTTCGTAACGGAACCGTAACATTACCCTATAATAAGATCGATCAAGACTCTAATAACATATGTCGAGACAAAGTTAGGTTAAAAGCTCATTCTCTTGAAGCTAATTAATTAAAAATAAAAACAGACCATTTAATTTAACTAGGCAAAAAAAGATATCTTTTACAAGCTCTATAAATTGAGCCACCGCCTCCATTAATTTTCTTCAAGCACCAAACCATATTTTCTTTATATATATATATATATTTTTTCTTCTTCTCTCTCTCCCTTCTTAACTCTTTTGCTCTCTCTAAAAATGGACAAAAAACCATGCAAATCTCAAGAAGTTGAAGTGAGGAAAGGACCATGGACTATGGAAGAAGATCTTATTCTTATGAACTACATAGCTAATCACGGCGAAGGCGTTTGGAACTCGCTTGCTCGATCAGCCGGTAAAAATATTAAATAATATCGCACTATATAATTTTTCGTTAAATTTTTTCCATTTCTTCTTTATATGTGCTTACATATGAGGAGAACACAAAAAGAAAAAATGAAATAAAAAGAAATTAAAAAGAAAACTATGTAATTTGTATTTATTTTGTTATTATTAGGGCTCAAACGCACCGGAAAAAGCTGTCGACTGAGGTGGCTTAACTATCTTCGACCGGACGTTAGGAGGGGAAATATTACGCCCGAAGAGCAACTTTTGATTATGGAGTTGCATGCTAAGTGGGGAAATAGGTAAGTTTTTTTTGTTTATATAGATTTTTAGGGTTTTATTAGATCGGGGCTATCAATTTATTGACCCGATCAAATTGTAAAAATACATTTTCACACAAATAACAAAATAAAATGAAGAGATTTTTGGGTACTTCATCACTTTGTGGCCTATAGGGTCAGGTGTCTTTTTCACCCGTACGCAATCTTCATATTTTAAACGTGGGTTAGTTCAAGCGATTGGGCGCTTCTATGTAAAGATTCATATTAAAAAAAAAAAAGG